ATAATGTTGGCTTGGTTTACAATTCATATAGCTGCACGAGCATATACATGTTAATGTATACGTAAGTGTATTTGGGCGGCGCAAGCAGCGGCCGCGCATGAGAGAGAGAGTGTTATGCTCACATGGTAACCGAATGGTCGGCCGCGCATGCAGACATGCCGACTCAGCATTTAGGATGTGCATAACATTGTTGTGTGGGTCGAATTGCTTTGCACTTGAAGTGCTGGGAATATTCGGACATAAACAAATGCTACAATGTTACAGTGATATAAGCGGTACAGTGTGTACCCTATATATGAGCATACTACACCTCCCTCCTTTTGAAAAATAACGTAATCTATGGAGTTATATTGTTAATTATTGTGTTAAGTATATATATGTATGTTTATAAAAATTAGCAAATTAGTAAAAAAATTTTTTTTTATTATTATTATAATATTTTTTTTTGGTAATATAGTAACTATTGGAAAACTTAGTGAAGTTGAAACTTTGAAAATTTATGCGATTATTTCTTATTATTTATTGTTATAATAAATTTTTTTTTGTATTTGTATTAATGTATAATTATGTGCCATAGAAGTTGTTGTGTTAAAGCAGTATACGAAGTATTGTAGCCATACATCCCAATCTGTTTTATCAACTGAGATGTATGAGCGTATGAATGTGTTATGTTATATGTTATGAGGCTTCGCTCCACTGTTCCGACAGTCTGGTGATGGTGTGCAGTAGAATTTATGTTTTTGATATTTAAATTTTTACATAAATCTTCAATTATTGAATTTTTATATTCCGTTCCCATGTCCGTAATGAACGTCTTCATTGGACCGTTCTTCAGAATAAAATCTTCGAATATAGCTTTTGCTATTGTTTTTGCACTTTTATTTTGAATTGGTATTGCTACAAGGTATTTTGTTAAATCGCAGATTAAAGTAACTGCGTATTCATTCCCTTGTTCAGACTTAGGTAGTGGACCGATCGTGTCCACGATTACCCTGTCGAAAGCTGTTTGTGGTGTTTCCGTAATGGTTAATGGGGTCTTCGTATGCGTGATTATTTTCGCTTTTTGACATTTTAGACATTTTCGTACGTACTCTGTAATATATCGAGTCATTCCTTTCCAAAAGTAATGTCTTTTGACCTTGGCCAAGGTTTTAGAAATGCCAGTATGATTCTTTTTCTTTTTCAGAATTTATTAGGGTCACCGGGTTGAGTAGCGCTACTCTCAATGATTTTAAGGATTTATTGCCCATTTCCTTGAAAGTATCTATTGAAACGCATTCAAAGATATTTTCCCACGGTGACACTTTGAGTTGGCTGATTTGATGTATACCGGCTTGCTTCTCAAGCCTTTGGAAAAACTGACCTAAGTCAAGGACTCCATTGGTATATAAATCGCTAACATCATATCCTGCAGTAATTTTTTCCCATGTTTAAATAAACATAGCATATTTTTTACGTGCAAGGTCACTACTTTACGTACTTCGTCATTGTTTATGACTCCGCATACGTTGGGTTTTGAAGCTTTTTCTATAGATTGCCTAGGCAAGTCTATTTCTTTTTCTCCTGCGCTGGATTTCTGTCTACTTTGATATCTTGTAGTGACTTTATGTATATTTCCGGTTATATTTTGTAGTTCTTTGATGGTTATTCTTGATAACGCATCAGCTACGTAATTGTCTTTTCCCTTTAAATATTCAACTGTGAAGTTATATTCTTCTAATTCTAGCCTCATACGTGTCAGTTTGGAACTTGGGTTAGTCATTGAGATTTCATTTCATTTTGATAATGAAATGTTTGCCATAAATGTATGGTCGAAAATGTAATATTGCCCAATGTATTGCAGCTAGTTCCTGCTCGGTAGTAAACTTATTACTTTCTCCCTTGGTAAAAGCTCTTGATGCATATGCAATGGGGAGTTGGAGTCCGTTATGGTTTTGAGTTAAAGCCGCTCCACATGCTTGCTTACTTGCATCAGTAATTATACAAAATTCTTTACTAAAACCTGGATATTGTAGCAAAGTAGGTTCCATAAGTTTTGTTTTTAAATATTCGAATGCGTTTTGGCATTCAGCTGTCCATTCAAAAGGAACATTCTTTTTACATAATCTTGTTATGTGCCGTGAATAATCGACGAAATTTTTTATGAATCTTCTGTAGTAATTGCAGAACGCTACAAAACGTCTTGCGCTGTCTGCATCGTGTGGGACTTGATAATTCAGTATGACGTCATATTTCTTGTCATCTGGAAGTATTCCTTTATCTGTGCACTTATGACCTAGAAAAGACACCTCATGCTTAAAGAATGAACATTTTTGTGGATGTAACTTTAGGTTGTATTTCCTACATTTCTCAAAAACGTCTGTTAAGTTTTTAAGCATATGTTTTTCGGATCAACCTATAACTATTAAGTCATCCATATAAAGGAATGCTTGTGAAGGTTCAAGTCCAGAGAATGCAATAGTCATCATTCTCTGAAATGAATTTGGCGCTATCTTTAATCCAAAAGGTAATCGTGCGAATCGATACGAGCCATTGCTCGTTGAAAAGGTTGTTATATCCCTTGAGCTTTTTTCAAGTTCTATTTGGTGAAATCCTGACATTAAATCAAGACATGAAAAGTATTTTGCTCGACCTAGTTGGTCTAAAATATCATCAATTCTAGGGAGTGGAAATTTATCGGACAGTAATTTTTTATTAATCTGACGATAGTCAATTACTATGTGACGCTCAGGAGCGCACAAAGTAGATATAATAACATAAGCTATAGATAGTCGTTAAGTAGGCAAGGAGCCGAAATAGTTATAAGTTCAATACCAAAAGGCAAGAAGCCGAAATAATTATAAGTTCAAAGGCAAGAAGCCGAAACAAATTTAAGTTGAATGAAAATATTCAAATTTAAATATCCGGGCGGGCGCGCCAAACAAAGGAAACGGTCACACTGACCAATAGCCACCACAAGCCACACGCGGTATGGCCATGGCTATAAGATTATGAAACTACAGTCACACTGGCGAGGGCCGGGAGGATATAAAAAGGGCGCCGGGGCCCAGACAGAACACTCTGCGACCGACGGCGATCGGAGAAGGTAAGGCTTACCCTTTGGCGTGAGCTAACTTCTCTGGGAGTTAACTGCGGAGTCTTTTTCGGGATAGGGTCTAGTACCCCGTCCACCCAATACATTGTAGTTAGTTGTTTCCCCTCCCTTCCCCTTCTTCCCAACACCCTAAGGACCGGCCGTCATCAGTGATAACCGACCTTTGGGATCCCACACCCCAAGACCGACCGACATTAGTGACACCCGATCTTCTGGGGACTCCACCACTCGGTCCTCCGAGGCGCTCCTCGGCCGTCTGCCGAACCGATCCCACCTGGTTTTCACCCGGGTTGCGTCGGTCCGCAACGCGCCCTGACCACCACTCGGTTCTCCGAGGCGCTCCTCGGCCGTCTGCCGAACCGATCCCACCTGGTTCTCACCCGGGTTGCGTCGGTCCGCAACGCGCCCTGCCCACCACTCGGTTCTCCGAGGCCCTCCGGCCCTGCGTGCCCGGAACGAGGACCGATCAGATCGGTAAGGTCGACCCTGCGTGGTCGCCACCCTTCTCATTCCCTGGTAGACCCAAGCGGCCTCCACCCTCTTCTCGAAACTGGTAGCCCCAGCGACTCCACCCTCTTCTCGGAACTGGTAGACCCAAGCGGCCTCCAAACTGTCTTATCTTCCTAGACATAAGCATAGCCAAGAGGGACGTGGCTCTTTCTTTCTCATCCACAGGGTACACGCCGCCACCGCCGCCGACGCCGCCACCACCGGGACGACGACGCCCAACGACGACGCTGAACGACGACACGAAAGGCCCCGGCAACCTACGGGCGGACGAACCCCTGCAGCACGAACTGTATATATATATATATATATATATATCTATGTAACAAATAATTCTTAATAAACGCATACCGATTCGATTTCACTGAACCCGCTTCCGTGTCATACTCTGGGAACCGGGTCGGCCTCTTACAGCAACCACTCCTGACATAAATAAATGTTGGAACGAGCCCCTGGACACCGTTGAACTACCTCAGCAAAGCAGGATCGTTACATGGCGCCCGAACAGGTTAAAGTGGTTGCAAAGAGAAAGACATCGGTACAGAGTTATGTCGACGTGGGTGTACCTAGCAACTAAGGCGGATCTGATCAAGTACGCAAGAGAGTTCGGATTAGACACAACAGGAAAAGTGGAGGAGTTAAGACAGATACTGTCAGCATTCGCAAAGAACCCAAACCACACGGAGACGCTCATGCAAAGACTAGGAGTACTAGCAGAGAAGCACAAGAAGGAAAAAGGAGCAACGGATCAGAACAGCACACCAGCGGAAGAACTCAACACGATGGCAAACCAGATCGACATACGGGTCAAACAAACCAACACCCCACCACGGCGGGAATCGGAAACTCCAGACATACCGGACAGAGTAAGGAGTTGGGGGATCCGCTACCAAGGAGCAACCAATGCCTTGGAATTCATCAGCAAGATGGAGGAATGGGCCAAAGGCTACGGCATACACAAGGATGCCCTGATCCAGATGATGCCATTCATCCTAGAAGGAGTAGCAGTGGACTGGTGGAACACCACACCGAGCCAGATAAGGACATGGGAGGACCCCAGGGAGGAACTGTTAGAATATTTTTTGCCACCAAGATATCAGGAACAGTTGGAAACACAAATCACTCAACTACGGCAGCGAGAAACAGAACCAACAATGGAATACGCAATGAACCTGAGGAAACTAATGAGATTTACAGAGTATTCAGAAGAGACAAAGTTGGACCGGATATACAGAAACTGCAGAAGTAAAATAAAGCTCTACACGAGACGGTCGGGATTTAAAACACTGACAGAATTCCTGAGGTTGGCAGAAGAAGTGGAAGAAATAGAAACTATGGAAGGAACCAATAGACCAACAACAACAGGAAACCAGAACTTTACGTCGGAAATCTGCATAAGATGCGGAGGAACAGGGCACGCCGCAAGAACCTGCACAAACCCCCCAAGACTGTTTTGCTGGGTATGCGGCAGAAATGGAACAAGAACAACGGAATGTTGCCGAGCTGGAACGGGAAACGCCAGAGACCTGAGCAGGTAACGCTGGTAGCTCAGGACCAAAAACAAATACCAGCAACAGAGGAACAATTAAGTTGTGACGGATTCCAAATATTTGCCACGGTGAAAATCGGACCAGTAAAAGCAAAAGGAACAGTGGACACAGGAGCGTCACGGAGTGTGATCAGCAAGAGAAGATACAACGAATTGAGAAAATATGGAAAATGGAGGAAGGAAAGGACAGAAATAACATTAGCGAACGGATCAAAGCAAAGATCGGATGGAGACTTTACTACCAACATACAGTTCGCAGGAGAAGAATTCGAGTTGGATTTCCTCATCTTAAACCAGGTGACAGGAGGAATATTATTAGGAATAGACTTTCTGGCCAAAACACGCACAAGAATACAATGCGGCAATCTGGAATTAGATATCACCGAGGCAGAGACAACACAAGGCGAAATAGAACCCGAGCAGAGCACAGACGATACGGAACCGACGGAGGAGGAAATCAGCAAATTTCTGGAACAACAAAGGCAAGTATTCGAGGGAATGAAGGGAACCAGTAATATCACGACACATAAAATTTACATGAAGGACGACAGACCGGTGAAACAACGATACTACCCACGGAACCCGAAACAACAAGCGATAATAAATGAACAAGTGGACGAATTGCTAGCACTAGGGTTGATTGAACCATCACACAGTCCATACAGTGCGCCAGTAGTATTGGTAAAAAAGAAGAACAACGAGTGGAGAATGTGTGTGGACTATCGGCTGTTGAACGAAAGAACAGAAAAAGACGCCTACCCGGTACCAAGGATGGACTTTATATTAAACCAGCTAAGAGAAGCAAAGTTCATAAGCACGCTAGACCTGAAATCGGGGTATTGGCAGATACCAATGGAAGGTCTCAGTCGACAATACACAGCGTTCACAGTACCGGGACGAGGCTTGTTCCAGTGGAAGGTCATGCCGTTCGGACTCACGACAGCACCAGCCACATTCCAGAGAGCTCTAGACACGGTCATAGGCCCAGAGATGGAGCCATTCGCGTTCGCATACTTGGACGATATCGTGGTAATCGGAAGAAACAAAAAAGAACACTTGGAGAAATTAAGAGAGGTTTTCAGAAGGTTGCCAGCGGCAAACCTAAAGATAAATGCAGAAAACTGTCATTTCTTCCAAACCGAGCTAAAATTCTTGGGACACATTGTAACCGACAGAGGCATCAGGACGGACCCGGAGAAAGTGGCAGTCATTCGAGAATTACCAGCCCCAAAAGGCACTAAGGAAGTACACAGCTTTTTAGGGATGGCATCATGGTACAGGAAATTCATCCCAGGGTTCACGGAGAAAGCAAGCGCCCTACAAGAACTGGTAAAGAAAGGAAAAAAATTCGAATGGCGGACAGAACATCAAGAGGCGTTCGAGAAGATTAAAGAAAGTTTAACAATGGCACCAGTACTAGCATGCCCAGACTTCACCAAACAATTCAAACTACAAACGGACGCAAGCGAGCTGGGGATAGGAGCAGTATTAACCCAGGAAGACGCCGAGGGGGAACATGTCATCTCATACGCAAGCCGAAAGCTGAGCAAGGAAGAGCAAAACTATAGCGCCACAGAAAAAGAGTGCCTGGCAATCTACTGGAGCATCAATAAATACAAAATGTATCTGGAAGGATACCGATTTGTAGTGGTGACGGATCACCTAGCGTTGAAATGGCTAAACTCCATAGAAAGCCCTTCAGGGAGGGTAGCCAGATGGGCGCTCGGACTACAACCGTTCCAATTCGAGATTAGATACCGAAAGGGAAAATTGAACGCAGTAGCAGACGCATTGTCCAGGGCCCCACCAGTAGAAATAAAGTCCGCGAACTGTCAGGGCGACTGGTTGAAGGAGGCATACGAGGAGGCGCAGAAAGACCCGAGCATCACAGAATTCAGAATAGAAGGAGAAAGACTACAAACGATGCGGGAGAGAAAGGGACAGACAACCATGGAAGCTGTGCATTTCACAAAGCGAGATTCAAACGGTGCTTAAAGAAAACCACTGCAACACAACAGCGGGGCACATGGGGATATTAAAAACACAGAGGAAGATTATGCAACGATATTTTTGGCCCGGAATGCGGAAGGACATTGTCAAATTCGTAAAGGCATGCGAGAGCTGCCAGCGATACAAATTGTCTCAACAAAAAACCGCAGGGAAAATGCTGACAAGAATAACCGAAGCACCATGGGAAACCGTATGTGTCGACTTCGTCGGACCTCTACCACGCACGAAGCATGGAAACACCACACTAATAGTGATAGTGGATAGATTCTCTAAATGGACTGAACTCGCGGCAATAAGGAGCGCAACGGCAGAGGCATTCCTGAAAATATTTCGTGAACGGATAATCGCCAGAGTGGGTGCGCCAAAAACACTGATATCAGACAATGGGGTCCAGTTTACGGGAGGAAAAACTAAGGCCCCCATGGAACAGTGGGGCATACAGCAACAATTCACGGCGCCATATACGCCACAACAGAACCCAACAGAAAGAACAAACCGAACCATAAAAACCATGATATCACAAATGGCAGGGGAGGAACAAACTAGGTGGGACGAGAATCTGCCGGAGCTAGTGCTAGCATACAACAGCAGCACATCCGAATCAACGGGATTCAGCCCAGCCCAAATACTGTATGGGAGAGAACTTCGACTGCCGGGAGCACTGTTCGACAAGGTCACCAAAGGGTCAGGATTAGCGACAGAAACAGTAGCAGCAAGGTGGAAGAGACTACAAGGCATCAGAAGCGAAGCGATCGAGAACATGGAAGGAGCAGCAGAGATACAAAAACACCATTACGACCTACGTAAAAGAGAGTGGAAGCCAAGTGTGGGACAGCTCGTCTGGTGCAAAACACACTACCTATCCAACGCAGCGGAAAAATTCAACGCTAAATTAGCACCGAAATATGACGGGCCGTGGGTAGTAGACAAATTTTGTTCACCGGTGATAGTTATATTAAAAAATTGTAAATCGAAGAAAACAAAACGCGCATACATCGGAGATGTAAAAATGTATATTGACACTAACCATGAAGTAACCAACCAGGATAAGAAAGAAACAAAAAGTAACTCAAACGATGTATTATTAATTTCAGAAAACAACAAAATGAACAAATTCGACGCTACAAAGAAGAAGTTCCGGGAGAGCAGCACACGGCTGCAGCAAGAAAGGCGAACGGCGAGGTTGATACCGGCGAGACCAGCAGGGGCGGGCATACGGGTCAGGACAGCACCGACTCGCCTCAGACCACCAATGTGCAGGCTAGCTCTGGCACAAAGAGAAGGGCAGTCACGACCAGAGGGGCGACAGACAGCCCAACCGCCAGCAAGAACGGCCGTGGCGACCAATAGAGGCGGACAGACCCGGATCGCCCATGTTCCTCGCAGCTCTCTGGAGGCAGTGACCGACGGAAGTGTCCAGGAAGAACGGGCAAGGACACCGTCGCCAGACCGGGACATCCTGGAGCTACACCCGATGGACACGGATACACAGGCAGAGGAAGTAACACCAAGTCAGGAGACAGAGGCACGCCCAGACGCACAGGCGCCACGAGTGGAGTATTTCACAAACGATATGGGGTGGATCGTACCCAGAGATGCGACGATGTCAGCCAGGGCGGTCAATGAAATCAAAGAGAGATGGAACAGGAGGAGAAAGGGGAAACAGCAGAGTATCCTAGTGAAGGACGACCAGAAGACGTGGAAGGCCATCTTTGGAAGGGGAAGCCGCATCACGATAAGACACTTCGTGCCTTCGCAAGAGGGGGGGAGGTGTGACGCTCAGGAGCGCACAAAGTAGATATAATAACATAAGCTATAGATAGTCGTTAAGTAGGCAAGGAGCCGAAATAGTTATAAGTTCAATACCAAAAGGTAAGAAGCCGAAATAATTATAAGTTCAAAGGCAAGAAGCCGAAATAAATTTAAGTTGAATGAAAATATTCAAATTTAAATATCCGGGCGGGCGCGCCAAACAAAAGAAACGTTCACACTGACCAATAGCCACCACAAGCCACACGCGGTATGGCCATGGCTATAAGATTATGAAACTACAGTCACACTGGCGAAGGTCGGGAGGATATAAAAATGGCGCCGGGGCCCAGACAGAACACTCTGCGGCCGACGGCGATCGGAGAAGGTAAGGCTTACCCTTTGGCGTGAGCTAACTTCTCTGGGAGTTAACTGCGGAGTCTTTTTCGGGATAGGGTCTAGTACCCCGTCCACCCAATACATTGTAGTTAGTTGTTTCCCCTCCCTTCCCCTTCTTCCCAACACCCTAAGGACCGGCCGTCATCAGTGATAACCGACCTTTGGGATCCCACACCCCAAGACCGACCGTCATTAGTGACACCCGATCTTCTGGGGACTCCAACACTCGGTCCTCCGAGGCGCTCCTCGGCCGTCTGCCGAACCGATCCCACCTGGTTTTCACCCGGGTTGCGTCGGTCCGCAACGCGCCCTGACCACCACTCGGTTCTCCGAGGCGCTCCTCGGCCGTCTGCCGAACCGATCCCACCTGGTTCTCACCCGGGTTGCGTCGGTCCGCAACGCGCCCTGCCCACCACTCGGTTCTCCGAGGCCCTCCGGCCCTGCGTGCCCGGAACGAGGACCGATCAGATCGGTAAGGTCGACCCTGCGTGGTCGCCACCCTTCTCATTCCCTGGTAGACCCAAGCGGCCTCCACCCTCTTCTCGAAACTGGTAGCCCCAGCGACTCCACCCTCTTCTCGGAACTGGTAGACCCAAGCGGCCTCCAAACTGTCTTATCTTCCTAGACATAAGCATAGCCAAGAGGGACGTGGCTCTTTCTTTCTCATCCACAGGGTACACGCCGCCACCGCCGCCGACGCCGCCACCGCCGCCGACGCCGCCACCGCCGCCGACGCCGCCACCGCCGCCGACGCCGCCACCACCGGGACGACGACGCCCAACGACGACGCTGAACGACGACACGAAAGGCTCCGGCAACCTACGGGCGGACGAGCCCCTGCAGCACGAACTGTATATATATATATATCTATGTAACAAATAATTCTTAATAAACGCATACCGATTCGATTTCACTGAACCCGCTTCCGTGTCATACTCTGGGAACCGGGTCGGCCTCTTACAGCAACCACTCCTGACATAAATAAATGTTGGAAAGAGCCCCTGGACACCGTTGAACTACCTCAGCAAAGCAGGATCGTTACAACTAATCGCCACTTTTTTTCTTCGGAACCTGGAGCTGATTTTTTAGGGACAAGCAATAATGGGCTACTGCATTCCGATACTGAAGGTTCGACTATCCCGTCGGTGATTAATTTTCCGACTTGTTTTTGAATTTCGTTCACCTGACCATGTGGGCTTCTATAATTTTTTATGTAAACGGGTTCATCATCTTTCAATCTCAGTTTTTGTTTGTAGTAATTGTTTGTGCTAATTGGTTCGGATTCTAATCCGAAAAGGTCATATTTTTTACATAAATTTGTGAGTTGGAATTTGAATCGTGGGGGCAAATTTTCTGACAATTGGGATAATACCGACTTTTCTCTATTTTCTTTGTTTCCTTCGACTACATCATAGTTCAACAGTGATTCATATGCTAAATTATCCGCACTGACCACTTTATCTTCGTTTGTTGTATTCAGTAGTTTTATGAAGGCATTTTGTGTTGTAGCTATTGTACTTGCTATATAAATTCCGTGCTCAATTTCTTGAGTTGGAATTAATACACTGTTTTCTTTTGAATTTAATTTTATTTTTCTAATGACTTGTAATCTTGCTGGCAGAAGAATTGAGTTATTGCCAGAACTGTATTCTTTGGAACATAAATTGGAAATTTTAAATTGTTTGGTCTTATTATAAGCCAATCTTCAGATGGCTGAAAGTCTAATTGACAGTTGTATTTTTTTTTTTTTTTTTTTTATATTCTGACAGATTAATAGTATGGAGGGTTACTTTCTCTACTGTTGAACATTTAAAGAGGGTTCGGAGTTTCCCGACGTGTCATTGGCTACTCTTACATTGCTTGTATTGTTGTTATTGTAGCCTCCGCTTGAGTTGCCACGGCCCCTTGAGTTTCCTCTGTGGTTGCCGCGACCATTGTTTTGGTTGGTATTGTTGTAGTAACCATAATTGTTACCACGACCACGAAAATTACCTCTATAACTTCCACGTCCGCGGTTTCCGCCGCGCTGTGTATAGTTGTTGTAGTAGAGGACCGAATTTGGTTGTCCAGTTGCTTCTGTGCAACTGTTTACGAATTTTGAAATTACGTCGTTCATTGTGTTGAAGTTGCCGACTTGCATGATAAGTTTTACCTTATCAATCGTGCAGTTTTTAGTCATTGCTTTTACTGCATGCTGTGTGGAATAACTTCTTGCTAGTTCTAGTGTTAAGCCGTCTGCTCAGTTTCTGATGTGTATTGATTAGCAGTTTTATTTCGTTGCTGTAGATTCATTAGCTTTGCTGACAATACCTCTACAGTTTCGCCTTTGACGTTACTTTTTAACTTGGCAATTACTTCACCTACCGTTGTTTCGTTTCCAATTAGATTTCTTTATTAGTTTTGTCTTTATTATAGAGACAGTTAGGCTTTCGTGTTCGCCTTTTATTGACTCTATAATATGCAATGCATCAATGAAACTGGTTAAGTTTTCTGCTTTACCATCGAAAACTGGTATAAGCTTTGATGCAGTGTTAATGAAGTCGATATTTGTTTGAGCCATTTCGAAGTTAGTTCTTAGTTATGTTTGCGCTTGAGTCTGAGTCTGTTTTATTATCTGATTTTGATAATAAAACGGCTGGGATAGTAAGATTATTTAAATCTTCTTCCTTAATTTCCGCGTTAAAATTTTCTTGCTCCGTTTTATCTACACCAGTTGACTCTTCCAATGTTGATTCTTCATCGGTTTCAACTGTTATTGCGGTATTAAGAATGGTGGGTACAGAGATATTTAAATTGAATTTTTCTTTTATAAATATTAGGTTTTCTCTGAGCCTTTGCAAAAATGTTGATACCCTTGACCAATGGTCGTCATTTAATTTTCCTCGTTGCGCATGTATTAATATGCGCGCCCCGTTAAAACTATTTACTACTATTTCTGCGTGTTTTTTTATTGTGCTCCCTTGAATTGGTCTGTTTTTATTTTGTTCAATTTCGCATACAAATCGTTCCATTACCATAAGGATCGTGGTTTCACCGAGTATAGAATGGTAATCCACGATCTCTTTTACTGAGACGTATGGCAAAGTATTTAGGATTAAACCCTTTATTTTTTTTATTGTAAGCAAACCAAAGGTTAAATTCCAAATTGTACTTTTCCATATAGTTATATTCGAATTCAGTGATTGTAATGAAGTTTTTATGGCAATGGAGAATGTTTAATGCACGCATTCTAAATTCTGGATCTTTAATAATTATTTCCTCAAGACAGCTATCCAATTCTATCGCGTTAAATGCCATAATTTAAACAAAAAATAATTTAAAATTTTATTTAATAGGGGGTATTAAATTGAATACTCTAATCTTTTGAAAAAAATTTTTTTTATATCTTATCTAGATCGTGTGCTCTACTTAAATACTTCTTCTTTAAACATTTATTGTGCAATTTGTGTATTTTGGTAACAAAATTTGCGCTCAAGATGACAATGATTATTATTAAGAGTATATGTACCCAATATAGGTCAATATTGTTTGGTTCTACTTTATTAATAACGTTAGCAGTGGAGTCCACTGACTTAACGTCTACGATTCCCATTTTGGGTAGATATACTTCTAGGTATTATTATAAGTACTATGATATTCGTCAGAGAATTTATCTATTCTATTGTTCATTCATATGAAGAGATTTTATATGGATATACGTAAATATTCCTTTCTAGCTTTTAAAGTCTGAGGAGCACTCAGCAAAATAACGTCATCAAACAAAAATGTAGGAATTTAGTTATTCAAAACTGATTGATTAAATTATTGTCTTCTATCATAATCGCATAAATTCATTTTATTAAAATTGAAAATTGGAAGAAAAAAAATTTTTTGTGTTAATATTCATATAACTGATTTACAATATTTTGCTCTATATAAACCAATATCAGTTATATGTTGTTAGTATATAGCCTAACAGTGGTTAGTATTTTTCGAGCAGCGCTTTCGCGCATCGGCTCGGGCTTAGAAGTTTATAATTAAAGACAACTTAGGCATTGGCATAAATGCAGCCCTTGTTGCGTTACTTTGCTCGTTTACAAAGTATTTTGTCCAGTTCTTTAATATTTTGTGCGTTTGCTTCTTTTTCCTCCTTCAGTAATCGTCTCTGTTGCAGGAGTTTTACCCTTTTTCCACTTCTTTATCTTTTGTGGATGGGTTTGCTGGACTCCTGTCGTGGCCTGTACTCAGCTATTGTGAGGGGGCGAGGTCCATCGTTGGGACACAATTCTAGGGCCTCTTGTAGGGTTGGTGCGTCCCTTTGCTCAACAGGAGCACGACGGTGCAGAGGGCGGACTGCCTTCCGCACTCATATGCTTCCCTTGTTGGTGTAGCCGGCGGTCTGCCTACCACACTTCAGTTTCCATCGTTGGTGCAGAAGGATTTGCCATTCCTTCCACACATGTCCTGGTCAATTTCCTTTATTTTTTCTTCCTTCCTTTTTTTTTGTGTTGATTTTGTTTTATTTTTTCTGTAGTCCGGGTCTTTTGGGCTCAGGCGGCGCCGGTGCTGGTCATCGCAGAGGCTAATTACTGTTGATTTTTTTTTTTTTGCTGGAGATTTCGATTGACGATTTTCGAATGCGGCTCTGGAGAACCTAATTTCGGACAGACGAGGATTAGGGATCGGCTTGCATCGCCCACATTGGACGGCCACACTTGTTAAGCACTGGCCCTAATTAGCCAAACTCGCCGATTTACGCATTTTGGGGCCAAAAAACGCGAAAATTAAACAGCGCGCAGTGACAACAATTAAACCGTTTCACTTTCTACTCGCGCACATGTCACGGTCGCCATGTAAAGTTGGTTGTATGTATATTAGACTTTATTTTATAAACACAAGAAAAGAGTGCACTGTAATGTTATTATATATATTGGGCTTTATTATTCCGTCCGTTTAGATCGGGACTCATTTTTAGAATGCTCACTTAAGAATAATGTTGGCTTGGTTTACAATTCATATAGCTGCACGAGCAGCGCCGCGGCCAACGCTTATGTATCTGAATATACACGTTAATGTATACGTAAGTGTATTTGGGCGGCGCAAGCAGCGGCCGCGCATGAGAGAGAGAGTGTTATGCTCACATGGTAACCGAATGGTCGGCCGCGCATGCAGACATGCCGACTCAGCATTTAGGATGTGCATAACATTGTTGTGTGGGTCGAATTGCTTTGCACTTGAAGTGCTGGGAATATTCGGACATAAACAAATGCTACAATGTTACAGTGATATAAGCGGTACAGTGTGTACCCTATATGTGATCATACTATAGTTGTTTCCATGAGGTTGCAGAATGTTTTAGGGTATTCACTTTGAATTAGAATACGTCGTCCGCATATGCGACGACGAAAGTTCCCGCTTTCTAGAAGTTATAGTAGTTGGTTGACTACTATGACCCAGAGTAGAGAGTCTTGACGAGTCTTGTAGCAAGGCCGATCCCATAGTAGAGGTCACCACTCTGCTGGAAAGCAATGATGCTTCTCACCCGGGTTGGTTCAACTTCAAGACTATGTCTAGAAAGGCCGCCAAGGTGTATTTCTAATGTTGGAATCCATTTTTAATCTTGGAGACCAGTGTATGAAGTGCGGATTCAGTCGATTAGCCCTTTCGGTAGGCATGTTGAGTAAACTTGAAGGGCTTGAACGTGCTTATAGCCCATTTGATGCGCTCTGCGTTTGATAGTTCTAGG